CAAGATAGCCTGCCAAGGTGTTCTACAAGTTCTTCCGCTGGATACCCTCTCTTTATGGCGTTCGTGTTGCCCTGGCCTGCTAAAGTGTGCTAATCCGTTGATTCGGTTAGTTAATTTTTTTTATTGGTGCCATAGGTAGTGGCTCTATCGCGGAACCTATCCAGGCGTGGTCCCAAACGATCAAAGGGAGGATAAAGTACAGAAAAAACGACTCTCGACAAGGAAGGCCTTATTTATTTTTATGTCTTTTAAAGCAATCTTCCAATCTTCACTTCAGTCACCTTCTCTAGTTATTTGCATGTATATATGCGTGAGCTTTCAATTATTCGTCACCTGCCGTCTCTCTCTCCCTCTCTCTCTTTCTGTACTACGCAGGTAGTGCGCATCGGTGAGAAACCAGCCAAAATTGTGAAGGCTCTCATGTCGATGAAACGGAAGCTCCTATGCGACGCCGGTGGACCGCCGCCCATGGTAGAGCTCTACGGACCCTGGCAAGTTGAGGACTACGTTCCCCCCGTTGCGGAGAATGGCGTTGTGCCGCGCAACGAACATGGAAACGTAGAACTCTTCAAGCCCTCCATGCTGCCTATTGGCTGCGTTCACATCTGTCTCTCAGGTTAACTATCTGCGATTTCGCCTTCTTTGTGTTTTTTTTGGCACCGAAGTTAACATTTCCGCTAAAACTTTCTAGTCATACTTTTTGTTGGGTCATTTTCACAAAGAGTCCTCGGCGCTGATCATTTAGACAGCAGCGGTCTCGGACTTTCGATGGTTCTCACGGTGTTTAGGCAGCCCGGAGCAATACTTATCGGTCCTAAATTTTAATCTAATTTAGTAGTTACCGTGTGACTATAGGCCAATGTAAAGGTGGACTTTCTGTGGACTTTATATGCTTATGGTCATATTATCTAAACCAACACACAAAACCAGCTGAAAGTGTAAATAGGTATTAAACCGAGGAACACCTGCTAAACTCAGCATTCAGCCGCCCCTAGGGATCGGTTACTGAATTTAGGGTTCATGAACTTTTCTTAGTCTCCCTAAGACGCGGATGAGGTGAGGATCGGTTCCTGAACGCAACTTTTGTTGCTGACCGCTAAAGTTACGATATCTGGGGTCTTTGTTCAAGGCCGACTCTCTCAAGGTTACTCACTGTAGCAGCGAGCGAGCTAAGACCTGCAGCCACTTGACTGGATTTCGCCAGGATGTACCCATACGTCTAGGTGGGAACCACAGCAGACGCGTCTTCGACCGCGTTCCCACCAGCCCTCACGGCG